TACTCAAAGTGTTTCTCCCGGCTTATTGGTACCATTTTTGGAGAGACTGGATGTCTGAACCCTTTCGGAAATTTTGGCTGTGAAGGAATTGTTGCCTGGAAGAGTCAGTGAAGTGGTTTTGAAATTACACAGGACTGGAACTGAAATTATGAGAGCCCTTTGGGACGTAGGACTGAGAAGACTGAATTTCTGCTTTGACTTAGTTTTTATAAGTTTGAAAGGATTAACAATACTGCAGCAGAGGAGATAAAAAGCGCATGACAAATGAAAAGTGGCATTATTTGAATGACCCTAAAAAAATTCCTTGGATAATACATAAGAAAAGGATTTATTTGGGATAGACCTGATTATGCAATGGATGCAGATGAATTTATCTGTTCCTCTGGCACTTAGGTGAAGGGTGGATGAAAATCTGAAGTTTAACAACAGGAAAGTCCTGAATTCCCCCATCTATCCTTTTCCTTTCCTCTCTATCCTACTAGTTAAGTGAAAGAAACCTGCAGAGTATTGCCTTACTGAAAATAAACAAATCCATAAGTTTTTACTCCACTAAATTGTGTCAAGATTTTTTTTTTAATGCAAAGTGAACACTAGTAAAATATTTGAAAAAACGTCTGACTCAAAGAAATGTGTTTGGCTTCTCTTCTGCCCCTTTTCATTAGGGGATCTGTGGGCTTCCAGCATTTGAAGGACTCCTTGACCTGTCAGTGACATCTGCTAACATATTACATCTCAGCCTTGCACACAAGCTGCTTGCAAGACAGTCTGAGTCCAAACCTCTGAAGCAGAGCAGCAGCTGTAAATGAGTCTTTCATACAAAGTAGAAAAGAACTAACCCTATTACTGTACACATCCAAAAAATGTAGGCTGTAACCCTTTGATGTCTACAACTTGATTTTCCCTTTCTTCCCTCAGTGCATGCCCTGTCAAGCATCACTTGCTGACACCAAGAGAATTGAATGCACAGAGAAAGACAAGCAGAAAGGCACCTGATCCAGTCATTTACAGCATAGAGTATATACTGCTGTACAGTGAATTATTTTTACATAGGTAATTAATAATGGAGAAACAATGTAGTGACAGTGTAAGTCCCAAGGGAGAAAATTGTCAGCCTATTTATTCATTTATTCTTTGCTAACTAAATTGATGGGATAGTCTGATGCCTTTCTGGATTCCACACGGATGATGAAACTGCAAACAAGTTTCATTTAAATAACAGGCAAATCTTCCAATTAGTCAAAGCCTAATTCTTATGCCTTGAAATGATGAACTGCATGTACTGTGACCTCTGTCAGTTTGAAGGGGAAAAAGCTGTCGACCAAAAACCCGAGACATTGATCTGAACATTTTAGGCACCAATTCAAATACATTAATCTAGTGTGATTTGCCAAGATTCTGTAACTGTCTTCTGGATTCCTAGGTTCATGTTAAATGGGATATCATTAATTCTTTCATATAAACTCATCTTTTAGCTATTGGAGAGGTTAGTGTTACTAAAGCACAGTTCTCAAGAGTATGTGAAGGATCGCCCTGGATTCTGCTCTCTAATGCATGGCCATGTCCACCCTTCTGTGTGGTTTATGCTTCCAGAAATTGCACCTTGCACAGGAGCTGAAACCCCAGTTTCAGTAGGGGAAGAATTTTAGTATAGTGTATAGTAACAAAGATAGTAACAAAGTGTCGCTAATCTAAAAGCAGATTAATGTCCAAAGACCACAAACACAAAATAAATATCCCATGGCCATTTCTGTTGTAAGACAGGCATTTCTGCAGGAAAAAAGTAATCTCCAAATAATGAACTTTTTAAGTAAAAAGGTTGCAATTTTTTCCTGGCTTAACCTTTCTCTCAGATTTTGTCTACTTTTGCATGTTTATTTTCTCATCTTTATAAGTTAAGGAACAACTCTACTTCAGTATTCTTGCATTTTTAAAATGCAAGCTATCGGCTAGCACGTATGGGGCAAAAACTCCCAGAGCACAGTGAGTGAAGAAGGATTTTTGCTATAACTAGCTACAGCTGAATCATGATAGATCATGCTATTTTATTGAATTTATCTTCTGAATATTAGATTTAAGAAGCTGTGTCATGTTGAAATATTGAAATATCTCCGATGTAATCCACTGTAATCCATTGTTGGAAGTTTTGAGGGGGAGAGGGCAGTGAGAGAAAGGGCTGGCTGGTGCTAGATAACCAATAATCTGCACAAACTCTTGGAGCTGGCAGCAGGGCTGCAGTCTCAACACTAGTTTCAGCCTGGGAGCAATTGACACTCCCTGTACCAGCTATTTGGCTGGAACTTAAATATGTCACTTGGCACTGAGAGTCGATAAAATCCCTGTTATTTTCCAGGCTGAGAGCTAAACAAGACTGTAGGCTTCCTAAACCATTGCACAGTGCTTATAAAGAATTGCTAGTTTATCTGAAGTAATTTAATCAACCTGATCATTAGATGAATTTGCTACTTCCACACTTTATTCTAATTGTGTTTGCTCATATGCATATTACACTTTTGCCCAGTTATTTAGTTCTAATTAATAAATTGGAAACAAGCATGCTGCGAATGCTTCCCAAAGAGGATCTTCCTGAAATGGAGGAGTCTGCAGGGAAAATGAGCAGGACAGCAAGACTGGATGGTGTTCTCCAGAGCCATCCTTACAGACCACTGAAAACTGAGACTGGAGCTGGAAAATCCACCATCCATTGAAGTCCTGGCATCTAAAACTAATATATTTCCTCTCCTAAGTCTGTGTGTATGGCATAAATTCTGTGTTATTTGTAGGGAGATTGTTAATGTTTGGGACATAAACACTGTTGAGAACAGTAAAACATTTATTGTTAAACCAAAGGAATATGTCAAGAAGGCCTAATATGTGCCCCTTCACTGTACTTATTCTTTTCAGGTTCCCGTATTACAGTGCTCCTTGTGGCTGCACTGTCCATCACATCCCACTTCACTTCCAAGCTGGTGGATAAAGCAAGCCCTTCCTGCAGAGCAACACTAGAGCTCATGGTATAAAGCTTTCACTGTGACAGCTGCAAACTCAATGCTTTTTTAAGAGGAAAAAGTGTTTTTTATAGACTAGGTCTTTTAGGCTGAAGTAAATAATAATCTTACTTTTGTTCTATTCAAGGACCTCTTATATGTGCTCTTCTTTTGTCATCTTCCTGAGTATGGAGATTTCCTGTAACTGAGAGATTGAATGAGTGTTGTCATCTCTCTCTATTGCCAAGCCAGTAGCATTTTATGTGCCATATATTGAAGTAAGACTGATGCTTGGCACAGCTTTGCAGTGCAGCGATCTTGTGTAGCTGCTGTCAGGAGTAAGGTGCTGACTTTGAAGGAAGCCAGACTGGAGCTTAAATGCACCACAGTATTTATGCAGGAACACATTACTGAATATCACCAAGAAAATTTACCTTCAAAGTTTTAGAGAGTATGTACTTCTCCTCCACTTATTTCGTATTGGGATGAAGTAAAAATATTTTGTAACAAAAATCTGGATGCTACTCATAGACACGGTCTTTGGAAATAACATCTGCTCTTTGAGATGCTCTTATATGAAGCATTAGAGAAAGATGTACCCTTCCTTTTTTAGGGTGAGCCACCATGCAGCATGTAAAGAGCAGGATGCCTGCATCAGACAAAGGGCCTGAGACTCACTGGCTGATAGGAGAGGCCAGGTCAGAGTTAGTGTAGTGGTGTGGTGTTGTTGCTGTCCACACTGGTAGATTGTGAGTGTGCTCCCAGCCTCTGCAGGCCTGTGTCACCTGCTCCTCTGAAGTTATGCCCAGGTGAGGTCTGGAGGATGGAACTGGTGAGCATCTGTACTCATAGGCTTACAGATGAGGCTGTGTGAAACCCAGGGAGGTGGGACAATGAGAGAGGGACCAGTGGGAGCCAGTCACGCTGTGCTGCTTCTCCTGTCCACTCAGGGCTGGAGAAGTGCCAGGGAAGCACCCAGCAAGTCCTGGTGTTGGCTGTGCCCCACTGCGTCTCATGCTGGGTCTCAGCCTCTTCTGCAGGAGCTCTTGCATTCTGAACAGGTCCTCAGTCACTGGAACAGGGCTGGAGCTGCCTTATCTTGTGTATGTATGAATTCCCTAGTACAGGGCTGGTGGATCTTCTGAGGAGGAAGCTTTGGTCTCCTATTATCTTCCTTTCAATGTTTTGTGCTACTTGGAACTTGGACATTTGTTCCTAATAAACATTTTAATATTGAATTTGTGGAAAAAACTCCTCCTAGAAAATATTCTGATCAAATTTCAGTCTTACTGATTCTGTTTGAGCAGATGCTACTGTTTTTAAATGCCTCTGGGAACATTGTATGTTGAGCTTTTTTAATTTGGAGGAAAATATGACTGTAACAGGGAATGGTGTCCATCAGAGAGGGAGAGGTTATGTGGAAGCTGAAGCAGTAAAGTTCTGAGAGAAGAACAAGACAAGAAAGACAACATGTAGTTCAAGAGGTCTGAAAAGGAAAGGGAAGATAAGTGCATGAAAAACTGTGTACACATTCAGCATAGTTGAACTAAAATATACTCTGCATTGCAGCGTTAATTGTGCACCAGCCTCCCTGGATTTTAGTAACTTGAGAGCCTAAGGAGTTAATTTTTTCTGCCTTGTTTACTGTTTTTTTGCCCCACTGTGAGTTATTTTTTTAGTGTCAGATCTACATTGACACTTATATCAAAAAGCCTGTGATTTAACTTGATAGATCAGCTACTGTGAGGGGACAGGGGTGGGTAACTGACCCTACTATTGAGATATATGATGCTTATTTAGAGAAATGACATATATTCTTGATGAGATATACAGACACAAACTCCAAACTTCTGATTCAAGGTTACTTAAAAAAAAAAATAGAAAAATAAGCTGGTTTTTTTTTTTTTTTAGTTCTGCCCTCCTTTCTTTTGCTTAAGATAGAAAATAGAGAGTTTTCAACATTAGAAATACTATCTACTGAGGATAACTCAGGGAACAGATGACATGTGATACCACTTGACACTTGCATGGGAACAATTCAGCAGGGGTAATGGTTCTAGTTAGGTGGTGGTGGAATTTGGAGCTCTTGTTTATGTCTACACAAGTATAACTTCAGTTCATACTTACAGAAGATGCCACTCCTGAGATTAGGAGATTCCCCATTGCATCATGTAATACTTCAAAAAGGTGATTTGTGGGAAATAATGCTCTCCTGATGTGTTTTTCTGATTCTAACTATTTGAAAGAGAGTCAAGAAAGAGATCCATAAGCTTCAATAACATCTTAGGTGAAAAGTCAATGCTTCTTAAGCCACACCTGATGATAGAGGAACATTCTTCAGTGTGGTTGGATGGGACTTCTACATTATCTCTTTCAAGGGAAAATGCTGATTTCCTGTAAGAATTTCAGAAAATGAGCGGTTTCATTTAAGTGAATTATTTGCTAATAAATCCCAAGTGCAATAAGAAATATCTACTTTACTATGAAAAAAATTATAAACATTGATTTTTTCAGTCAGAAACAATTTTTTCTCATGAGTAGTAATGATAAACTAATAAATGAAACATTTCAGTTGAACACAACTAAAGTTTTGGTTGTTTATTTTTGCAGAAAAAAACTCCTTTCCCTCTGAAACTATTCTGTGAGTCTATGAGATTTTATTTTTGAGGCTGCAAAAACAATTTTAATATCAAATGTTTATGGATATGAAAATTATTTGCTGCCTAGCCTTTCTTTCTAACAATGTCTTGATATCTCTCTCAGGAAGATTACAAATAGGGAAATTCCTCTGCAATTCTTTGTGACAGAGAGGAGTTTGGTAACCTGACTAGAGATTTATAATTTGTTGATTTTTTTCCCCCCACACAGACTCCTTTGTGAAGAATTGTGGTATGATACTTAACTTACAGTTTTCAATAGCAAAAAATAAAAAAACCCCACCCAAAAATACTGGAAACCTGCGTCACAATCCTGCATGGTGGCTGAAAGAGTCTGAAAATCTGTTTTCCATTTGTGATTATTTTGTATATGATTTTTTCTTTTTGTCTATTTGTGACTGTTTTTAAATGGTTCACATATGAGGTTTTCTTTAAATCTTTGCCTTTTACTAGACCAAAGCCTCCCGACCATCAGAAAATAGATTATTTTGGGAGGCGTTCTTAATGAAATGAAAATTGAAAACTAGGCCATTAATCCTTAACATTAGGTGAAAATTCTTCACATTACTCTTTATTGTCTTAGTGTCATTGGAAATTAAGATAGGAGAATCTTTCATGAAAAGCATCAAAACCAGCCAGAGCAGAAAGAAACAAATTTAAAAGAAGATGTTTGGATATCAGAAAGCTGGAATGTTGAGCTTCATCAAGCTCTGGGGTTTGGGTGAGACTACCTATGTAAGTCACGTACTGAGAATTTTTTTCTGAAAGAACAGACTGTAACAGTGGAGTCTTTTGGTCTCCAGTTGGTCTGCACACCTATCCAAGCTGTGTGAAGAGATTTTTGTTTTTTTCTGGTAGAAGTTGAAGGGACTTCTCTTGGTTGACCACCATCTCAAAAACTCCTCAGGGAGTAGCAACCTAAAGAAACTTCTAGTTATAAGATAGTTTGTGGAGGGGCACTTTTGTTTATTTCGTTTTATTTTTTCCTGCCTTGCCGTTAAGATGGTACATCCAACTGTATTATTTAGCTAGAAACAGTTGATTTCCAGCAAGGAATCACGTGTTAATACTTTATGAGTGAATTATGCAGCCAGCACACCAGGCCATTGGAGGGAGTAACTCTGATCGCACTGTAGCTTTCCAATGTGACTAAATGAAACAAGGGGACTCAGAAGAAGGTTGATACAGCCTCCTCTAAAATTACTCAGGCCATTTGCAAGTCCTTTGCAGTCCTACAACTACCCATGGTTATTCATTAATCAGGTACTTTTACATATGCAAGGAATTGAGAGGGACCTTCAATCTGTAAGCAGCCCATCTGCAAGAACCTGCAATTAGGGCTGCTGTATTTCTAAAGGTGTCAGACCTGCTGAGCATGTGCACCCCAGTGAATGAGAGTTACAAGATGACTGCAAAGCCTAGGCAAGTATAAAATAATCTTGAAATGCATCCAGAATAAACTCAGTATGTCTGGGAAAACTAATTTTTTCCAAAGTGGCCTTAACAACGATGCTTTACATTGGGAATTATGGGCAAAACTAGTAGTATTGTACTGGTATCTTGAATACTGCCATTTCATGCAACGAGACAAAGAAGACTTGTGAATCAGACAAGTGAATCACTGTTGTTATGTGTGAATTCGATTTTGGTCTTGTTAGCCACTGGGTTAACAGGAGAGCACATGGCAATTTCCACCAGAGTGACAGGTCCTACACCTAGACAGGGAGAACAAAGAAATGTCCTGGATTCTGTCTGTTTTGAATTTGGTGCTTGTAAAAATTAAAATAGTCCTTCAAAACTTGGCAGTAGCTTTTAGTGTTTATTTTGTCCCCAAAGTGCTCTTGTGGCTGTTTAGCAGGCATATATTTATATCAATGTCATGCTTCCAAACGTGCTTTGGATGTCCCTGTTGCAGGCAATGCTGAACAGGTTGTGTCTCGGTTTTGGTATTTAAGCTCCCTTTCTGATTCTCCAGCAGAATGGAAATTGGGCTTGTGATTTCTTCCACAGCACTTCTGCAATACAGTTTTTATTACAAATGATGCCACTTTAGGCAGGATAGACACAAGCAAACTGTAAGCTCAGAATTGCCCATTGTAGTCAAATTGGCTATTTTCCAAACAATTCACAATCTCTCTCCCAGTGTGACCTTTCAGAGCCCTGCACTCAGCAAAAGAGAGGTATATTACCTTTCATGCACTAGCGTTCATTTTCAGGAGAAAGCCAGGATTGTTGTTCAAATTCTGTACAATTACACCTGAGCACCTCATTGTTTTTGGGGTGGGGGGGGCACACACAAAAGAGTCAGGTTGACATTCGGTACAGAGCTGTGTCTGGCCTTACACACAGCAGGGCAGACACAGAAAACATTAAAAGCACACTCTGCAATAAATACGTGACAAACTGAATGCCTAGATAGAGAATGGATACTGCCCTGTTTGTCTGGTTATTCTTGCCAAGCTGTGCTGATGCTTTCCAGAGGTGTAATTGGACATACTGCATATGTTGAGCAGGCAGTGGGGGCAGATGGGACAAAGAGGATAACTTATTTTAAGTGTTGCCTAAACAGGTAAAAGAGCAAATGTGATCTGGAGTTAGGGATCCTGTAAGTTGGGGCATTTGGGCTCTAGACTGTTTTCCACTTTACTGTTTTCTCCCCCAGCATTATGGCTGCTCTTAAAAACCTTTGGGTTTATAGAAATACTTTAGGAAAAATCCAAACAGTGATAGATTGCCCAACAGAAATTTATTTACATGAAAACTCCTGCCTAAGCATAATTTTTCCTGAGATAACATCTGCTTTGAAAATACAACACAATATAATCTCAGATGTAAAATTAACACCCTCACCTTTCTTTTTTTTTCTGACACCAGGAGATGCATAACTTGCTGACAATATACAGTTGATAGCTGTATCAGTCAATCCTAAATAGTCTATAAATCCATGTACAGTGTAAAATATCATTGATTTATGTAATTGGGAATTTTTAACAATGCAATTTTGTGTAACTATGTTTGTTTTTCCCTATTTAGAACCATCTTCCCTGTGAATCTGGAAGCAGTCTCTGATTGTACAGAGCCACTACGTATTCCATCCTTGTGCTTCTCTGGAGTATAAGTTATGACATATCAGCATTGCTTTGAGGTCTACAAAATCTGTGGATTTGCAATACGTTGAAGTGTGGAGATGGAATGAAGTTGAAAGGATTCATTAATAAAATGTAAGTGGATGATACTTCAAACTAAAGCACAAATACCGCATTGTCTAAATTGAAAGAAATAGCTCCTTTTGCTCAAGTGGGAGCAGTAGCAGTAACAAAAAGCCAGGATTGTTGTGGCCTTTGGTCTGGGACTCAGCTGTTATCTGAGACTGACACACAGAGCTGCTGGAGTGCTTTCTTTCCACATGATGGTTGTAGATGAACTTTGGTGAAGGAGGTAAATACTGTACTAGGTATACAGGGAGTCTCACAGATCTGTGTGAGAAACTTTACCAACTCTAAGCAATCCCCCACAACCTGCAGCACCTACAGAAATAAATAAGGCTTTCAATCCGAAATTAATGATAAATGGAAGGAGCTATTCTGCCCCTGGCATTGTCAATTTTCTCTTCCTTTTCAGGAGCCTGATTATTCATACTTAGTATATAAACATACTGCATGAGGTAAATAGGTACCAAGGCTAGTGCTGGTTTTGAACATAGATCATCATTTTACTTACTCCCTTACATCATTTAACTCTGTTCTGGTGACCCTGGGACCTGGTAATACGCACTGCAACCAATAACCATAACTCCATGATCCGTATAGAATATGTGAAGGATGGTGGCAAGTATGTAATTTATTACCTTCTGTAGTGCTGTGTTATTATTATGTGACTGTTATAGCATTCACAGTTTGACAGATTCCTATTAGCCAGTCAGTCAGAGTATGTAGTGTATTATTTTACCAATACCTGATGCATATCAATAAAGTTAGTGAACACTGCTATAAAAGAACAGCTGTATTGCTTGGATGTTGTAATCTCCCATTCTGAGTTCTCACCTGAAACATCAGTTTAAACCGACTGCTACTTTTGTAAGGCTTAGAAAAGTCTGGGTAACTTTCTTCCCTCATTGTCCTGAATCCTTGAAAAGAAGTGTCAAAACAGTACAAGGGGTTATTTTCACTGTACTGCCATTCCAACAGCAGAAGCAAAATTCACGAGAAATCTTGTACTGAGACAACCTGTTCTCACAAGATTTCCAGCCCATTAACTCAGGAATCAGATTGTTTGGATTAGGTTTGCACAAACAGCCAAGCTTTTCAGGTCCTTATCCAAAAGGCATTGAACCAAATCTTTTGAGGTTTGCCCACATACTTAATATATTATGCAAATATTTGCTATATGCAGAGAGGAGAGCAAGATGGGAAAAATCTCCTTGTCCAGGACAAGCAGAATTAGTTATTGCTGGATGAGTAAAGGTATCATGATTTCTGCTGGCTGGATTAAAACATCAAGGAGAGGAAGCATAGACAAAGTGTCACAGGACTGAGGGTGACTAAGAGGAAACCTGAAGCTGGAAAGCAGTGAGTTGCTGGAAGGTGAGGAGAAGAGATGGAGCTTCATATAGCCATGAAACAGTCTCTCAAATTATGGGTAATAGAGAGCTAATAAAAGAAAAGGATACGAGCAGGGGTAGCTGTGATTCTGGAGAGAGGAGCTGGATAACACAACCCCTATGCCTGGCCTGTGGCTCAGGTCACAGTGATCTCATGGGGGCCACAGCAGAGCTGAGCTTGGGGGTGTCAGTCCTGCAAGGGACACATGCTGCTGCTGCTCTCCTGGGGACAGAAGAGCTGCCTGGAGACTGTTACATCTCTGCTTGTACACTTCATCCTCCTGCATTTCTAAGGGACAAAGCTTAGATCAGCCAGTGATGCTTATTTCAGGATTGTGAAGTATAATGTTCTGATTAGATGAAATACATCTGAAGAGTATCAATCAAAATTTAAGAAAATACATAGGAAAAAAATGCAACTTATCCAGATTTTTTTCCTGTTATTTCTGTTGCACAGGCAACCTGAATTGTTGTATACAATTCAACCATGCTGTCAGTTTTTACTAGGAATGTAATCAATATGATCTTACAAATTTTAGTCAAGGTCTCTGAAACAAAGCATTTGCTATTATATAGATTCTTACCTAATGCTTTGCAGCAGTATGCTAACAAGCTGATAGTAAGTGTAGATGTTTAGGAAGCAGTCTGACTGTGAAAAGACCATGATTTCTGCCTCACCCAAAGTGTGACTGGCAGTACCATAGTCAGAAAGGACTGTGTATAAGTTAGTCCTACTGCTCCTGCTCCTGACGGTAATATAATTATGAAGCACCAGTAGAGCTGCATCCCTTCACAATTTCATTAATGGTCAAGCAAATAAAGTATGATGCTTTGTGTTAGTTCTTGAGGAACTGCTATGCAAAATGTAATCATCAAGAGCTCTAGAGAGGCTTTTTTTTGACATGACTAAAGGAAATTTTGGCAGACACTGAAACTGCAGGTGGAAAAAACCAGAATTGTATGAAGTTATAGGAGGGAGTCGAACTACTGCTTGCAATTCTGGTTAGCTGACCTGAGCTGAAACACAGGGTGAGCTTCTCTCCACCTAGCTTTAGAAATTTATATGGTAATAATTTAAGGATTACCTTCACAGTAGAATTTCTTTGTATTCTGCAGAGAGAAAAAAGCATTTTTCAGGAGAGATTTTTTTTTTACTGGGTTTAGGTGTCTTCTGTAGGATAAACTGATTTGGGACCTCATATTTATTATTCTCATAAATTAATATAAGGTTCAGCAAAAGGGAAACATGGTGATGTCTAATCAGAAGAATATTTCCCTCTCTGTC